CCCACTCAGTCACACCCGTCCACACCTCAGTCTGATGCTGCAGAGACAGTAGTTCCGGTGAGTCCAGCCATCAAGGCCATCCTGCGGCTCCACTGCTTTCCCCAGTGACTCAGGCAAGGGTCCTGCGACCTGTTCTGGCTATACATTGTGATCTTGTCTTTTAGGATTAGGCCTAGTGCCCTCCACATCTGGACAGCACTTCCAACCAGCGACCCTGTGTGTGGCTAGGTGCCAGCTCCCACTGTCGTCTATACTTTTTTGTTTTCTGAACATCCCATTTCCTTCCTGTTGGGTTTCTCAGGGGTGGCTGTCTGTCCCATTGACCTTGTGACCAGCCCAGGCGCTTGGGAGAAGCCATAGTGAATGGAACATAGTGCTTAGGTTCAAAGAAATCTCATACCATTTCTTTCCTTCATTAAAACAAACACCATTTACTTAGAGACCATGTTGCCAGCCCCGGGCTTCTTTCAGCTCCTTGCTACAACTTGACTGTTTTAAAGTTAACTATTTTGGGGGAAAAACAGACCACTGCCCTCTGTTCTAGAGTTCTTGCAAGGGGGCCCCTGTACCAATTACTGTTGTGCACATGTAAGGTATTTTTTAAAAAGAGAAATATGCATTTATTTTCCTATGTCCTTTTTTATGTTTATACTAGTCACCCCAGGAGGTATCTGCTAACTGGACTGTGAGAAATTCTTTTCAAAAACAGCTCATAATAACTTTTATGTGGTACATTTAAAACACGACTTGAATACTGTTGTTTAAAAGGCATTGTGTTCTTGACTTACCTAACTTTGGTACTTGCCTCCTGAGGTGGCCTAGGCCACTGATGGCAATAGCAGCAGTTTCCCTCGGGATGGCTTTGCAGAGGGGTAGGACTCTGGCAGCTCTGCGCTGGCCTCCCCATGGGCTCCTTCACAGAGCTGTCCACAGCTCCTGGCCTGTCTGACCTTGCAGCCTCCTGCTTCTGAGTCCGCTCTCACCTGTTATCTGCCTGTCTGAAGATCTCTTTAATTCAGTTTATTCATATGACTTCATGTCAGTATTTTAAAGCAACCACTGAGCTGTGGCTTCAGTTGCCAAAAGCATAACACGCACTTCCCTGGGTCTTCTCATCTCAGAGCCAACCTTCTCCGGCCAGGCCTCTCCTCCCAGGTTTGAGCCTTCCCTCCTGAATTTGGGTTCTGGGACTCTGTCATTGTGGGCAGGAACTAATTCACCATCAGCTGGTCCATCCACTAGTGCTAGAGCTGAGTTCCTCTGTGTGGTGTCACAGAATCTTGTACCCGCCCCAGCAGGCCAAACCCTCCTCCTGCCCATTTCTGCCAATCACTGGGACCCCCATCACTGCAGGAGTTAAGCTTGCCTTTGGAGTCAGGGAGCCTCGGAAGCCCATAGGGTTAGAGCTGAGTACAACTGCATTGGAATATCTAGTTTGTTTAATTAGTGGACGCCATGCACAGTCTTACATATTGACCTTATTTTTGAAAATATATTCTTAAAAAAGATTTTTTTACAAATAGTTAAGAGAATAGATGTTTTTTCAACTTGGAACTTTCTGATTCTTAAAGAAAATTATCTGGTACTTGTAAGGTATCGGAAGTACTTCTTCCAAGTAATTTGATTACCTAAAATGAATTCTCCATTTTTATCAGCTGGGGATTTGTTTCTAAATCATAGTTCAATTTATATTAGCTTTTGATTTATGCTCCCAACATATCTGAAAGCTTATTTACAAATGGATAAACTGGATTATTCATTGATACACTGTTTTCTTCCTAAATGGAGACATTCCCTTTTTTTGTTCCCTAGAAATATCCTTTAATCCCCAGCTGCACTAAAACTATTAAACTTGGTGGGGACTGGATGAGGCTTCTGACAGAACCAGAGCAGCAGAGTGGGCTTATTCTTGCCCAGGTCAGCTAGCTTGGTGCTGGGCAGGGTGGGGGCCTAGGCTGGGCTGTCGCACCCTCCTCTGCATGTGGGGCCCTAGGAGGAGCCCTCGAAACTCCCATTCAATTTGAAAGCAGCAATCGAGATCATTCTCCTTATTATGTTCCTAGCACAAAACTGTTTCTAAAATAATTTGAAGTATAGTTTTGTTACCTAAGCAGTTCTTTTTTTCAGTTTTATTTAAGTGTACTAGAATGTAAAACCTTTACGGTGCAGATTTTTAAAAACTGGTACAGTATCGTATTTGCCTCATCTGATGCACTATATTACAATCTGTAATTAAAATGATAATATCTTTGCTCTGTGGTTTCTTTTTTTAAGTGTTTTGGTAGATCCCCGCCCCCCTGGGGGAAATTAGTAATGGTAAACATTCAATCCATGTTATTTTATTATGTGCCTTTAAATAATTGAATTCATTTACTAAATCATAAATGCAATTTATCTTAAATCTTCAGTGTTTTGGCTGAAATGGGTAAGTACTGTGATTTAAAAATCTGAAATGCCTCTTGACCTTAACCTTGAAAAAATGTTAAGGACACAGGAAAGGACTGGAGACACCTGAGAACCAGGTGCAGCTCTGAGGAGGCAGAGCTGTCTTTCCAGGCCATGAGTCCTGGAACCTAAAACTGGGTGCACTTCTGAGAAGCCCCAGAGTCCACATAAGGAATGCTGGCCTTCTGGAGGGCTGTAAGGGCTTGGATGAAACCATGGTACCCCTGAGGCTCACCCTTCTTAAAAAGTCCTCGATCCCTGTCCCTCTCCATGGAGCAGTCACTGTAGCTGCAGTCCTCAGCAGTGACAGCTGAGTAGCAAGCTGGGAGGGCCACTGTGTGAGACCCCAGTTGGCCATGCAGAACCTCTGCACTGAAAAGTCACTCGGTGGGTTTGGATTTGAAGACTTAGTGCTGTTTTACTACTAGAACAAAAATGTCACCCACCTCAATGTGGAAGCCTTCCTAGTGTCCACCGCATCTTGCTCATGCTGAAATGTCAGGCTGTCTTTTCACTCTGTAAGCCAAGCTGTGGGGTCATGACAAGAGCACACTTTATCCCAAACAGGCCATTCCACACAGAGCAATGAGTGATAGGGTGCAGGGCCCTCCTCCTTGCTCAGTTTCTCTGGCTGAAACCACTGCACAGACCTCAAAGCCACCCTCGATACTGCCTTTCATTGAAGAAGGCAAAGCAGTGGGCTTGGGAGTCAGGAGTCTGGAGCCTTTGCCCTCCTGCCACCCCTTGCCCCCCATGTACCCTGGAACATCAGGCACATCACTGTACAGCTCTAGGCCTTAGCTCCTTATACCCTGAGGGGGGCCACCCCCTGGAAGCCCTAACCTACCTCTCTCCTTCCAGAGAAATACCTTTGGCTGGGGAGGGTGTGGAGGAGGTCAGCTCTATATCACAATTAGGGGAAAAAACAGCATCACCTGACAAAGGAAGTGCCTTGAACGCCACCACAATGCAATAATCTCTTAGGTTTCATTTTGTTTAATGCAAAGACAAGACAGTTTACAATTCACTCTTAAATACAAGCACATAAAAAGTACTGGGGTCTTGATCAGTCTCTATTTCTTCTTCCTCAGAGAACTGATACTAACTCCCAACCCAAGTAGCCAAGGCAGTGGGCTGGCACTGTTCTATGGGTCCGACCTGAGAGGGTATTCCACCCCACAAACCTGCCATGTCTCCTTCCTCCACATGCTGTTAATATCACCCCCCCCGCTGTCCCACCTGCCCACCACATTAAGCTGATACGGATTGGCTCTTTTCAACTGGCCCTTCTAATTCACTCACTTTATCTTCCTTATCATCTGAGAGAGGCCCACACCAGCCAATGCAACTTTCAGATAATCACATAGTTACAAAAGCCCCATAGGCTTCTGCAGGTATCAATACTCCACCTGGGTTGACAGCTCTGCAAATGGGTGGCTGAGTGACTTTCCAGGCTTGGCCAGCCACTAGCAGCAGGTTTGAGCACTCATTCTGCAGAAGCCACCCCGAGAGCTAGGGAGGAACAAAATCGGTTTGGCAACTGAAGTCAGTGCTGCTCAGAATGTGGCTTTACAGAGCGAGTTGACTTCTCATCCCAGATGGAGGGGTGCAGGTTCTTTGCCATCACAAGCCTCAGGTTAAAGCTAAGGGGAGAAACCCAACTAATTCCAGTGCCAATCCTCGCCATGCCAGGGGCCACACAGGCCACATCACTCCTCATCCTACTCACTGCTGTGACTGACTTCTCTATAAAATGTCCACAGTTCCCAGTGGCAGGGAGAGAGTATTCAATCACATGCAAACGCTGGCCCTTTTTTTCCCCATTAAAGGCCTCAGGAGGGTCTTGGTGCTCAGACATCCTAACACAATCCCTTTCTGACTCCTGTCCTTAGGACACTGGCTGTCCCTGGGTCCTGAGGTCAACCTATCTATGTAGCAACAAGCCATAGATGCAAAAATCCTTCATAGCTGCCTCCAGCCCAGCACTGGCCAGGGATTCAGGCCATCAGTTCTTGTCATTGTTGGGACGGGGAAGCCGAGCAAAGTTGACAACAATCTGGCTAGTGAGGGCTGGGAGGTGTTAGAAACAGGCATACCTTGCAAGCAATGCCTCCCCTGCTCAATCTCTTGGAACATGGGGAGGCCACATTTTCCTTCCTCCAGTGTCCTCAGTGCTCCACGCCCCCTCAAAGACACATACCCCTGGCCTGACTGGGAGGTACCCCCACACAGAAGGCATTTTAGGACCCACAGGCCTGCATTGGGAATGGATCCGAAGGGCAGCACTGAGCCACACAATCCAACTGAACTGATTACCATCACACAACGGAGTATGTTTTTAAAACAAGTACATAAATGAGCACATGAGGCATGCATTAGATAACCTATGGGGTCTGTTCATATTTCAACTGTTTCCTTAAGTTGGAGTTGGCTCTTCTAGCTCAGCAAAGAGCTAACATAGAGCCTGGGAGACTGGTGGGGCCTCCTGTGCAGGGCAGAGGCACATGAACTTGTGTAAATAGGAGCCTATCTATGACACTCCAAACTTATTATTAGTAGACAGTGACTCTATACTCTAGCTCAGCCTCTGACAGCAGAGCTCCCAGAAACAGGACCACATGTGGGCCAAAGAGAACATTCCAGGAAGTCAGCTCTGCTCCAGCCCAAATAAGATAGTGCCAGGTCAAGTGAGGAGCCAGTCCCTGGGTTCTGGTGTTTCCCACAGTGAGCAGGCCCCCAGTGCTCATCATCAACAGGCCAGACAGTATATCTATAAACTTGCCAAGGCAGGCATATGTCACTAAACCAAGCAAACATCCCTCCCCTCTTCTCCCCTCCCCTTTCCCTCAAATATATTTCTAAGCAAACAACAAGCATGCTTCTGGCTTTGATACTCATTCTTGATGTCTGTATCTTTTGCTACCAAATAAGAACACAAAAGGAAGGGGGATAAATTCATTTCTAGTACATAAATGATTCCTAAAAACTAATCATGTCAGCCTGAAGACCACATCCAGTCCCCTATGGAATCAGATGGGAATTAGATTTGAGAGTCACAGCTTGTACTTGTCTAGAAAATTCCTAAACTCTGAGGGCAGGACTAGCATGGCATGCATTTTTGCAATTAAATAAATGTAAAATGTAAAGTCTCCACATGGACCAGCTCTCTGGAAGCCCAGCAGTGAGTGTCAAAGCTGGAATTGGAAAGGACAGAAATGACCCCCCACCTCCACCCTGGGTGTCGTGTGTGCCCAGTGTTACCTGGTGTTCACTGGTTCGTTCCTTGCAGGGGCTCTAAGCACTGTATGTTAGCTGGGCCCCCTGATTGTTCTCTGAGGTCACACTAGGGCTGCCTTTTGGCAAAAACCTGCCAATGAGTCAGGAACCACACTACCCTGTGGTCAATATCTTGTCCCCTAAGCACAAGTGTCCTCTTGGCTTCCCTCAGCTTGGTCCCCCTCCCCAGCTCACTAAGGCCTGGGATTGTCTAGTTTTGGGGAGTGGGTGACCCAGCAGCTCCCACGGCTGGATTTCAGGGTATCTGTGGCAGGGAGGGCACCACCATCCTGTCTGCAGGGCACAGAAACCAAACTCACAAACACCAAGAGCTCATCCAGAAAACTTAAGAACAACGAGAAGCCAATGATATCAAAGGAACAGTACAGCAGCTGCGGGTCCAAATGAAATAAGGATCTTGGTCCTCAGTGGCAAGACCACTGTGAGCGGCTGCTGCAAGTGACCCTCAGATCCGAGGCGGCTGGGGCTGCGGTGGCTCCGCAGACTGTGGTGGCAGTTCTAAGCATTTCACTGGGAAGAGAAAACACCCGTTAGAAGGGATTCATTTCCACGCTGCACAGAAGGCGCAAATACACAAGTCAGCCCCTGCTGGGGACAGCGAGCTGGTTCCCTGTCTGTCCTGTTCAGGGGCTGGGGCAGCACAGCCCCTCGTGGCCAAACTCCCCTCTAGTGCCCACTCTGTCCCCAGTCAGGGCAACCCATTTCCTCATCTGTAACGGGAATGCTTCTGATGGGGTTGCTGGGCGGATTTTAAATAAAGCACTCGACACAGTACCTGGTCCACAGAACGTGCTCACACAATGTTGGCTAAGAGTTTTAAAAATGCTTATAGTGAATGCTGCTGTCGAGCCAGTTTTCCCATGTTTTAATTCAGAGCTCTTTAATCCATTCAGTGCAGTACTGTCAAGTACCCATCCTAAGCAAGGGCATGGGGCACGCTGTGCACCCCCACTGCTGCTGCCCTCTAATATAGCCACAAGATGCCTACCCAGCCTCTACTGAGGAAAACAGACTTTCCTGACCACTCCACTCAAATTCTGGAGCCATAGGTGGTATCTACCCTGTGAAATTGGCCCTCCGGGCCAGCATCTTGACCTTATGCAGCCTCCATTGCTGATGACTCCTGCACCCAGAAAGGGCTTCATGACCATGAAGGAGACAGGGAAGGGTGGAAGGAGGGAGGGAGAGGGGGGAAGGAAGAGTAGAGGGAGAAAGGGAGGAAATGAGGGAGGGGGAGGGAAAAAGGGAGGGAGACAGGTTCCAATAATAGGGTCTATGTTTTAACCAAGTTCCCTCTTGCCTTTGGCAATTTTCAAATTGAAAGTTTATGTGTCTAGGGTAAAATATTCCCCAGGGCTCTATGAGAATTTGTCTGGAGTCATCTATTTTCATTGTAGGGAGTACAAGGGCCTGGGGCTCATGCTCAGATAACTCAGGAGCACAGCCCGACCCCCAATAGTGCACCGAAGTCCTCAACACAGCATCAGCTGGCCCTGGCTGTGGTCCCACTCTCCCTGATGGCCATCTGATCAGGGGCTGAGTGCAGGGACCTCTGGGTCACTGCAGCCCTTGTTCTGCCTGGATATTCTAGAAACAGACACTTCTGCACTTCCTGCTTCCCTAGCACAGTGCTGGGCTCACCAACTAGGGGATCTTTGGCAAGGGACACTGACCAAAAAGTCTTTACCTTGAGGTTCTTCACACACAACAGCTTCCAGGTTCTCTCCCTTCACGTAGTCTGCATTGAGACCCTCTGCAAAGGGCAAAGGGGAGAGTTAGCAACTGAACCAAAGGGTCTCCCACCATGATCAAGCACTCCCGACTAAGTCCTCCAACTCCCTTCACAGACTCGGACTCTGCACCCTGAGCCACGTAAATGTCTTCATCTAGGCAGAGTGGCTGGCTGGGAGTGTGCTGCCTGCCCAATTCTCATCATCATCCTCAGAAATGATATCACATGGCAAAGGCCCCTGACAAACCCCATCCGCATAGGGCAGGTGGCACCGCATGTAGATTGTAGGCCAGACAGCAGCTCCGCTCAGCAGAGGGGGCACCCAATAGCAGGGCTCAGTGTCACCCATGGGTCCATATGCTGGGCCAGCGGCCAGGGAGGCAGAGAGGGAGCCAAGCACTGCATGAGTAACTGGTGAATGCTGAGTAGAGGGGCAGATAGCTGAGTGGAGCTCACTTTGGAGATGCCTGCAAAGCCTCCTGCTAGTGTACAGCCTTCCCGGCAACACCTGCATGGAGAGGCCAACCAGATCCTCTAGGCAGTGGGAATGGCACTGGCCCTGCCCCAGCACATACAGGTGCTAGGGCCCAACAACAGCTGCTCTGGTCTAGTTATTTGGCTTTCTCCCACCTACTTTTGAGAGGGACTTGGGGACTCTACAAAGCATGCTCTGCATGCCAGCGCTCTGGCCACTGAGCAGCGCCATGCTGGACACAAGGGCCATTACTCAGGACCCAGAGTGGACCGAACCCCTGCTGCCTGGGGAGAGTCAAGAGCCCCTGTCTTATCCTTAGATGAGCAAGAGACTGGAAATCTCATCAGAGCTCTGGGCCTGTGGGAACACTGGATCATGGTTACAACCAACCAACCAAATGAGTAGGCACCAGTGTAAGTCACTCCACCCTCCTAGGCTGCATTCAGGCTCCTTGCCTAGAAAAGTTTGCCTGTATGCCCTGATGCTTGCTGGCTCAAGGCGACACCAGATGGGTCCAGTAAAAATGTGGGCATCTGTCAGCAGGTGTGGCTGGCCCCCATATGGGACAGGGTAGGTGATAAAAGCTATCCCCAGCTGATGGGAAGGGGATGGGAGACTCCTTGAGCTCTGATCACTGTCCAGCTGCCACCCTGGCATGCACTGGACTGGCTTTTACCTGTGGGCAGCCATCTGGTTTGCTCCTCAGGATGGCCACCAGGGGGCATCTGAATCCTACACAGAACCTTCACCCCCCTCCCACACATCCCTGAACCCAGCCTAGGGACAGAAAGTCTGGCAGGTGGCACCCTCCCGTGTGTATCAGGGAAAGCTAAAGATGATGTGGTTGCAGCCAAGTTGGA